CCCCCCCCCCTCTTTCCCCATTTACATTAATTCTTATGGGGAAATTGGATTTGCTTAACATCGTTTCACTTAAAGCAGCATTTTTCAGGACATTACTACGTTAAGTGAGGAGTTACTGTACCCAAAAAAGTGGGGCTGAGGGAGGGGAACCTACAATACATCATTTGTTCTAATCTATTACTAGATGGGTCATGAAGCAGTGGAATGGGTTACACTTAGGGAGGTGGTGGAATCTCCATCCTTAGAGGTTTTTAAGGTCTAGCTTGACAAAGCGCTGGCTGGAATGATTTAATTGGGGTTGGTCCTGCTTTGAGCAGGGGGTTGGACTAGATGACCTCCTGAGGTCCCTTCCAACCCTAATCTTCTATGATTCTATTGCATTCGAAAGGGAGAAAGTGGGAAAGAAAATTGGAAATTTCAGAATTTCAAAATTAAAATTTTGGGGGGGGAGGGAAGGTGAAAACCAAAACAAAATGAAAATTTAAATTCAAAATGAATCCAAATCAACATTTTCTGGTTTTGTTTAAAAATCACCCATTGAAAAATATCAAAAGCAACAGTTCTCTTTCCAAAACAATTGTTTAACAGAACTAGGGTTGTCAATTTTGGTTGGCGTATTCCTGGAAGTTTCATCACATGACATGATCTTTAATTAAAATTAATCTTTAATTCCTAAAGAGTTGGCAGTTGGAGGTTTCATCACATGACATAATCTTTAATTAAAGATTAAATTTCTATTCCTGGAGACTCCAGGACAATCCTGAAAGGTTGGCAACCCTAGACAGAACCCTTAATTCTGTTGAAAAATTCCAACCAGCTCTCCTTGGGATGGCTGTCGTCCTGCTGGATATCTGAAGAATGAGCCATCCTCCATTCTGCCCCCTGGAGTTTAACAGGAGGAAGCAATTAGGAGATTGAAACAAACTGAGAACTCAATAGTGTGACATTAGCAGTGCTAAGTGGTTTTTCCATCCTTTTAAAAATGATACTCATAGGCATGTCTACACTGCAATTGGGAGGTGTGCTTGCAGCACATGTACAAGCAAGCTTGAGTAACTACAACAGTTTAGCTGTGGTAGCCAGGATGTTGGCACAGGGTACACTTCCATGTGCAATGCCGCTCAGGACCTTTGGTACATACTTGAGCAGCTAGCCTGTGACGCTGCTCATGCTGCCACAGTGTGACTCTAACAGTCCCTCAATGTCTCCTGACACGGTGATGTGTGGAATTAGGTAGAGAAAGTTTAAAAAGTGAAAGCAAAACTCAGCTATTTCTTTGTTCATATATATCTAGTTGTTCATTCAGACTCCAGCCAGCACATTGCTATGATTCACTCTCCAGAAACCTTATCAGAGTCTCCAGGAGAAAGTCACTATCCCCAGCAAAACCAGTTCAAATACAAGCAATTACTTAGTCTGGAACCAACAAAAATCAGGACAAGCTCCTAAATTTCTTATGTATTCTGGCTTTAGCCTCACCTCTGGGGTCCCAGCCCCGTGCAGTGGCCGTCAGTCTGGGAGCAGCTACTCCGATTACACTCTCACTATTAGTGCAGCTGAAGCAGATAAGGCTGGAAATTATTATTGTCAATGAACCATCAGCTTCCCTCTCACATTGTACTGAAACCTCCCTACACTGTTCAAGGCCAGCTTCTGTAGTGCAGCAACTGCTTCATGTACACAAGCACAGTATCGGTAGGATTGCTGCTGTCCAGCCCACTGCTCATAGGGTGCTAAAAACCTGCTCTGTGTCTGGAACTACACGCAGAGTGTGGGAAACTGTTACAACACAGTGAGAAACCCCTGCACTAGCTGCTACGAATGG